GCGGATAAAAATACTATAGGTCTATTATTAGCGAATTGATGTGTTGAATCGATATTTGGTGAGAAATTTCCTATTTCTGAAAAGTTAAACTTTTAGGTTTAACAATATATATAAGAAATATTGTCTTTTTTATAATGTATATTTTTTAATATACAACACAATAATTAATAAAAAACTCTTTCCACTGATCCTTTTGCCAACTCAAAAATAGACGTTCTCAAAAAACTTTTTGTTTTTTTGATAATAAAGTCTATACACCCTTCCTAAAACAACATTGGTTTTTAACTAGTCAAGCAAGCAGAAGCTTTCACTTGGTTTACTTTTTCTTTTCAAAACATTTTTTCTGTTTATTTTTGCGACTAAATACAAGGCAAGAACATTTTTATAGAAAGAAAACTAACAAGAAAAATATTCTCCAAAGACCTCCAAAAGATTCAAGAATTTAGAGAAACAAGAATAAAGAAATCTTCAATCTTCTCATTATCTCTTTGATTTCCTATATCCTTTTTCTCAAATATGCTTCCTTTTTTTTGGTTTTTTTGGAGAATTTTGCCTACTTCAGTTTGACTCTAAATTTTTTGATTACACCAGATTTCCTGAAAGATAATTGATTAAGGTCACATATTGGTTGATCACATCAGCCACAAAAAAAGTAAACAAGACACGTACTCTCCACATGTTTCCTGTTGCGCAACATCAAACCAATGATGTGATTGGTTACAGTAAAAAGAGCAAGGTGACGAGGTGTTCTTTTTGTCAAGATGTGTTATGATGCTCCCCCTTTTGGACTGGTTTCTTTTCTCTTCAAGATCAAAAAAAATCTCATCCCAATCCAGTAACAAGCTTTTTCTATAGTTAATTATCCCTAAAATGGTTGGAGAAAGGTGTCTTGAAACTATCCACTGGTTAAATAAAGCTATAAATTCTTGGAGATTTAGTTGGAAGAGAAATTGCTAATTAAAATATCAACCCTCCCTAAAATTAGAAGTCTTTGAGTGTAAAGTTTCAAGAAATACTCTCCTGGAAGTGCCCTTAAATGTTTTTGGTCAACAATAGAATAGCAGAAATTAAATGGTTCGTGCAGCTGCAAGTGGTGGTAAAGAATTTATCCCAATGAACTGAAATTAATATTGGAGAGTTTTTATTTACCAGAACAAACTTTTCAACTACCTTTTTATTCTTCTTTCTTTTTTTAAAAAATAAAATTTTTTTTTACTTCTTAGGACCACAGGGTCATTCGGGGTAATAGACTGAATGTAGGGTGGCTGAGATCTTTCAAGGCAAAGTCTTTGATGTCTAGTCTTGAAAGGGAACAACTTTTTTATTTCCAATAATCACATTTAGAGAGTTTAGATTTAGAAAGTCTAAGATAGTTAATACCAGCAGTAATAGCTTAATGAACCTACTCCCTTGTAGTAAAATAATTAGTAAATAGCTAAATCATGTGAGCAACACGATAGTCTTGGTATTAAGGATTCAAGGATCACGTACAAATCTAAATTCATTGACAGGTGTTTTTCAAATTATGTGACAGTTTAGCTTTAGTATAGTATTATATATATTGTACTACTGTTTTCCAAAATTGAATGAATAAACGCAATTCTTGCAGTTTGATTAGAGACAAAAAAAAATATCTTTTAATATACAAATCAAATAAAGAAATAATATAGACCTGTGGGTCAATAGTGTAGTTATTAGCATTTCACAGGTCGGATCACAAGATACCAGTTCAACTTCATATAAAGGTAGTTAAATCAGATTAAAAATAGTATTTGATGTCATAACCTGTTAAGTACTGTTTCTTATAAGAAGTCAATTCATTTACTAATTTAGCAAGCATTAGGATTGTAACCTAGCTATAAAAGGAGTCGTGGCATGATAATCATCTGGTTGGTGCTATGATGATTATTGAAAGATAGTCAAAAAAGATAAGGAAGGAGACTGGTTTTGAGTAACAATGGTTTGGTGATCCTTCCCCATAATACCTAAGATGTCTTTTTCTATAGAAGTAATCATGAAGATCCTTTTCAGGACTGCTCTGACAGTTGCCTTTTCAAGTTGGATCACTGCAGTAAGACTAACACTGTAGGCAATTAGTCAGTATAAGTACCTAACTGTTTGAGTGACTTAGGAGTTGGTATAGCATAAGATATAGAAAATTTCCTCAATAGGGTTCTATTCATTTAAAATAGGTATCATCCTAGTGTGCTACATTTCAACTTTTTCTTAATTCTGCACAAAATCTAAAATAGAATGAATTAGTATAATTTGCAATACTAATGAAGCTTTGGCATATTAGCTTCAGCACTTACTTCTTATAGGACTACACCAATAGCAATAAGCTAATATGGAGTAAAATTGATATAGTTATATAATATTATAGTTAGATTATAGATAGTAATTCCTATAATACATGAATATACATATGTGACTCTAAATAATAAAGTGTGATATGGCAAGGCCCAGCTGGTTGACCAAAATAAAAATAAAACAAAATAAAGAAATGATGTTTATCTACTAAAAAAAAAATTTAAAAAAAAATAAATATCAAACTAAATCCAAACTGTTTGTTAATCTTTATAATTGTTAAAATAAATAATAATAATAATATTGTATTTTAAAATAGTTATAAGTTATAATTGAATTCATAAATAAATAAATTTAGAAATTTTTATTTTTTAATTATTATAATATTAATTATTTTTTTAATATTGGAGAACATGAAATTTTTTAATATATAATTTTAATCAAAAATTTTAAATTAGATATTGTAAACTTTTTTCTGTAGAGAAGCTTTGGTTTGGACGTTTTAGTATGTCGTCGTGATTGCAAGAATCACGTTATTTTTATTAAATTGTAAAAAATGACGAACTTTAATGTTTGCCTTTAACTTTTTTTAGTTATGTCCAGATAATAAGAAGTGCAGTAATTTGCATTCTTATTCTTCTTAACCAGCAAGTTAAAATGGCCTTCATTCTAAAAGTTAATAAATAACACGATCCATTAAAATTTCATTTTAACAACCTTTGTTTTGTAACTGTACCAACTGAGATGTATAACGTTACTTTCTTAAACAAATAAATTTCGTACAACATTAAACAAGTTCATTCATGACTTCCTTAAGGGTAACGGATATGTATTTGCAGTTATTTTTCTAAAGTAAAATATTTTTTAATGACTTCTATCTATAAATGGAAAACAAAACATGTTCGGGGATTCCGTATCAATTCTATATTTAACTATTCATAGAACTTTGGTTCGTTGCCGAAATTCCTTCAACATGCATAATAATGCGATTCTACCAAGGATTTCTAGTTTTCTAAATAGAAAACGCATCCATTTAGAAAGCTACCTATCTCATAATCGCTATAAAAGCGCAATACGGTTTTTTAAAATTCCATAGTCGGCAAATCCTAAACCTCAGAAATCATGGATCCAAATATAATTTTAAATTCTAACGATAATGACTCCTCAGAATATTCAGCAGTTAATAATAGTCAATTAACGTTAGTTTCTTCCGCAACAATTACGAATTCCATTAACAGAAAGAAACACGGAAAATGTACAAAATGCGGAAAAAGAAGAAGATGTATGGTAGAAAATCCCAACATTTGCCAATTTTGCTATCTAGGAGTCAGTAGTGGTATCAAACATGTAGACGATTTTATTAAAGGGACATTAGTAAATAGAATAAAATTACAATGGATTCCTTTTAGAGATCTTAAAATAACAAAAAAAATAGGTCAAGGAGGATTCAGTAAAGTATTTAAAGCAACATGGAAGAGTAGAAAAATAGTTTATAAAGAAAAGGGTGTAGAAAAAGTAACTGAAATAATTGTTGCATTGAAAATTCTTAATGACTCGAGTGAAGCTGATCTGGAATTTTTAAGAGAGGTAATATCCTATATCTCTAGTTAAAATATAACTTTATTATATTAACAATTAACTTGAATTTAATATTTTTCTTAGTTTAAACATACATACGATTGCGGAAAACAACAATATTTTGACTTAAATATTATTAAATTTTTTGGAGCTTCACAAGATCCAATATCTAAGAATTACATTATCGTTATGGAATATATTGCAGATGGCGATTTACATAAGTATCTAATTAAAAATTTTACAAATATTAGTTGGTATTGGAAATTTGAATACTTAAAATCTATTGTAGAAGGAATTAAGAAAATTCACGGCAAACAGATTATCCATCGTGATTTACATGGTGGTAATATATTATTGGGAAGGGGATTTATTTTGAGAATTTCCGATTTAGGATTTAGCCTTCCTGCTGCCGAATTAGGGAAATCATTAGATCCGAAAAATGTATATGGAGTAATACCATACACTGCCCCGGAAGTTTTACAAGGAAAGCCTTTTTCTTACGCCTCAGATGTATACAGCGTGGGAATGATCATGTATCAAATAACATCAGGCCACCGACCATTTCATAACCGAGCACATGGTTTCCATCTTGCAATTGATATTTGTAATGGATTGCGTCCTACGATCACCGAAGACACCCCCGAATGCTGGTCTGATATAATGCAAAAATGTTGGCATCCTGATCCTTCTCAGCGCCCAACAATCGAGAATCTGTTTGATCAGTTATATGTCAAATACACGCCTAACTATAGCGATGTTAAAAAAGAAAATGAATTAATGGTTGAAAAGGCAGAGGAAAAACGCAAGCAGATGATCGAATTAGGAATTCCTTTTGTAAAAGACTCCGGGAAAGAACACTCTAATGCCAACTATACTAGTAGTTTATTAACCCCATTGATAACAACGATTAAATCTCGCATGAGTTCATTCGATTCAAGTGGTGGTAAATAACAAATACAGTATCTTACATTGCGCCATTAAAACCTTTTATGAGACTAAAATTTTTTTATTTGTTTATTTTGTTAATCAATTAGGTGATATCACTTTTGATTTTGAAGGCGTGAGAGTCAAGTAAGTTTCTAAATTACGATAAAAATTATTTCTGATAAATTTTAAACATGCGAACTTACATTTCACTTGGTAGATCCGAGATTATTTCCAAAAAACACGATAGAGATGAGTGGCAACAGTCATTGCAAATAAAAGAGGAGAATAATAGTAAAAAAATTTGTACAAGGGAATAGATTATATCCTGTTACTCAAATTTAATACATTTTGTAACTTTCGAATTTGTCTAATTTTTTTTTTCATTCATTCATTCATTTATTATTAATTATTTTTCTTAATAAATTAAATATTTTTTTCGCGTATAAAATCAATACCAAATTTTAATAACGGGATTTCAAAATTATTATTTTAATACTGTATGCGATATGCATTTACTTGCTTATTCGACAAGTCACAATTTCAAATAATATACAGTATATGGTATGTTACAAATACAAGTTATCGGGCAAAGACACTGTAACTATTTTGCAGTAAACTGAATTCCGAATTAAAGAAATAACTGTTGTATCTCATGGATATACAACAAAAAAACAGTTTTTTAATGAAAAGAAAATCGTTTTCTTCAAGCATTTGCAAAATTTTCTCATGGCTGAGTCACGCTTAAATTTTATCTACTGTATTGAATTACGATAAAATTCTTATATGCATGTCACGAAAGTGAGTTATTTCGGTCAACATTGCTTGTCAAGAACATCAACATATGTATGTATCTAAATCAATATTCAGAATGCGTAAAAACTAATAAGAGCTCCTTCAAGTTCAAAAGTAATTAATATTTTCTTCCAGTGACGGCATTGTATTGTACCTGTTCAATCTCCGAAAGTTTACGAATAATTTTCTACGATTATTAATAGCACCCTCTCGATCTAGACAAAGAATGAAGAACAGAGCACAGAACATGGTAGACAGTCGACATTCACATGCATCAATATTCAAAAACTACCTTAATAAAAAGCTCTAATTTTTTTTGCAATTAAGTTATATTAGATGAGTTGGGTTGAGTTTTAATCCAATATGACTCGTTTGATAGTAAGTCAGGTTGATTTCTAAAATTTTTGACCCGATCAGATCGGGTCGGGTTGAGGGTTAAAATCCCTTAGGCTTCTAATATAAATTACAACTGGTGTGCATATTTTTTATATTGAGTAAAAAAAGAGAAATATTAAAACAAAACATTAGTTACGATTTTTAATATGAATAATTTTGCAAAGTCATAATTCCATTCTCATTTATTAAAATTAAGTGATTTGGTTTAGACTTCTTTTTCGATTAAGTTTTTATCTGATGAATCCTTTGTGCTCCTTTGTTTACGTTCCATTCCTTCAACTAATTTGTTAATGAAATACAGATTATTAGATTTGCTGGGCTTTTTTCATCGTGAGTTTATAATTATGGTATCTGATTATGAAGATTTTGTGGAAATTTTGTCTTTTGAAGATTTACTTTGTCTAACTTTTGAAAAAAAAATTTTCCAGTTTTTGCATCAGCAACAGGTGATGTACCTTCTTCCTTTTCATCCGTAAAAGTTTTCTATTAAAATTTTTATGGTGTTAATTATAGTACCATAATTAGTAATCACGAAAAATTATGGAGTCAACATTTTTTTTTTATTTTTTAGCATCTTCATTAACCGAGGATACCATAATTCTTCCTTTTTATTTCATCTACTACTTGTTTGTTTAAACTAGCAAAAAAATTAGGAACCTAAAATATAGGAGCTCGTCATTCTTTGTTATTTCATTTCTTATTTTAGCAAAGTTAGGCGAGACTCAAGTTTTTATGATATCAAATATATAAAATTTAATTAAAAATAATGGATAATTTGACTGAAAACACCGAGATAGAGTCGAATATAGAACATTATTATAATCCACACATTTATTGCTTTGCGCGTTTGCTATTTTAGCAAAGAACAGAACTACTCATTAAAGCCAAACTTTTTTTCTTTCCTTCAATAATCCCTGAGAAAAGAAACATTGTTTTAAAAGTAAAGCAGTAAGTAGAATTTAAGTGGTTATTCACAATGTGCCTTCTGGAATTGCCTATTGTTTGGAATAAACTTAATAAATTATTACATCAAGTCTCTTCACAAATTTCTTTTCACATACAAGTAATAAGAAGCGAAAAGAATAAGTCCGATGATAATACTAATTTTTGCATGGCAACAGTTGTCCATTTTATTGGGGGTCAACAAAGTGCACTTGATTAAGTTAGCGAAGTACAAATAAACAATTTACTCACTTTATGTTTTATTATAAAAAATAAATTATAGCTTATTGGCTGATGTCTTCATTAGTTTGTGTTTAATAAGATTTTATCTAAACCCAAACTAATATATAAGCAAAGTATTTGATCCAAGTAATGAACTTTTATTTTACATGTTAATCTAAAAGAATTTTTTTAAAAAACATGGAAATGTTGATAACAGTTGGTGCAAATAAAAGAGAAAAACAATACTATAGTAAAAATTTGTATAAAAAAAATAGACTTTGTCATATCAATAATTTACTATTTTAGCAAATTATCTATTTTCAAATTTTTCTTTTCATTCGTTCATTCGTTTTTTTTGTTAATTGCTATCTTGCAATTTTTGAATTTACAAAATTTCTAAAAATTAAATCAAACTGAATAATATTATGCTTTGTTCAAAAGGGATAGGTTTTTTTTGAAATTTTTTTAATTTTATATTTTATTTTATAATTCAATAAAATTTTATTCAAATATATTTACAATTTAAGAATAAAATAATATAAATTTATTAAAAAATATTTATTTTTTAAAATTTTAGATGATATATAAAAATCAAAAAAAAATTGATATAAACAATTATATTTTTAAAAATTTTATTAAATTATTTTATAACAAAGACTTATTTTGATTTTTTTTAAATATCTAAACAAAAGCAAAATAAATGTAACAAATTTAATATGTTAATTACAGAATCTAAGAAAAAAAAAATCCTAGTAAAAATACTTTAAAAACTTTTAAAAAAAACAAAATCCATATTTTTTTAGTAAGTAAACATCATTTCTTTATTTGATTTGTATATTAAAAGTATATATCGTAAAAGAAACAACATCTTTCATTTGTAAATACAGTAAGTTTAATGCTAGCTTGCTTACAAAAACCAAATAACTAATATTGAAAATAAAATTTTAAAACAATATATCTTGTCAGATAATACCGAGCAGTTATATTTACCTGCTCAATATTAGAAGAAATAAAATTGGAATAGCTTTGAATTAGTTTAGTAATAAATTTAAAAAAGTTGAGGTTATTTTGAATATAGGCATCTGCAACTAAAGTAAGTAGGTCGACTGTTGTTATTGATTCCTGTATGGATAGAGATTTTTGTGAATTTTATTTGGAAGTTATTTAATTGTTTTTGATTATGTTGTTAGAAGATTTGTCTTTCTATTTTATACCATTTTGTAAGGAAATATTGGCCATAGCATATTATAGTTTTCATATAATTGTATTAGGGCTTTAATCAATACTTGTATCCAATTGTTAAAGTCTGATATGAAGAAGATATTGTCAGTGATGCCGCATATTAGCTTTACAACCTGCCATATGTAAGTTATCAGTTCTGATTTACTATTGGGTAAAGAATAAGGTTGGTTTGCTTAATGATTTAATTAGTTTCTTTTGAAACTATTGAATATTTAAATACATATTGTATGTTTTCAGTGCAAAGTTTGTATCATAAACAGTAGGAATCTGGATATTGATCTGGATATTGTTATTAGAAATTTTATTATATGGAAAGAGCTTCTAACAAAAGCTTAATGTGAAAGGTAATTAGGTTACTGTATTTGTTATTTCGTGCATTCTTCAAGTTTTTATTAGATTTGTTAATGATTTTAATGCCTTAAGAATTGTAGAAGGAGTTAAATATTTTTAGTACTGATAAGCTTTCTACTATTATATATGTTTTGGTAATGTTAAGGATCTTTTTGCACTACCTGATGCTACTACTCAGCTAATAATTGTTAATTGGAGGGTTTTTTGAAAAGTACAATATTGAATTGTTTCAGTTTATAGTATTGTTAGTCCTTGAGTTTGACTTGTAGCTGAAATAGGTAAGAAGTATTGTTTTCTTGAGTATTATCTTGTTAATTTTTTGAATGATTGAGGAAAAATTGATTTTTGTTATTTTTCTAAGATAATTAGAGATCTCTTGGAATATCCTTTTGTTGTTTCTTATTTTGATTTCACAGTTAGAAGGGCATCAGTGAAAAAGATCAAAGAGAACTTGCAGCAGGTTACTAGAAGAAAAGATAGGATTGTTTAGTTTAACTTTAAAGTTATTTATAAAAATATATCCTCAATAGCTTTGGATATAATATGATTGAAAAAAACAAATTTTCTGGTGTTGAAATAGGAGAAGAGTTGAAGAAAATATCTACTGATTGAAGAATATGTTCATTTTTTGGGGGAAGTTCTTGAGATCTCTTTGATTATATTATTTAGATGATACTTGTTAGAATTTGAAGGGTTGGAAAGGACCCATAAAGAGGATACTTCTAAGCTTGTAAAGTTTAATGTGCAAAAGTCAACACTTGGAATACCAGCTGAGCAACTATCACATTTGGTGAGAATATTGTTATTATCTATGTTGAAGTGTTTTTCTTTGAAATGAAGGTTTTCCTGGATATAATAATGTCTCTTGTATATTTTAACAATAGTGTTAGTATTGTAAATGAGCCAGAAGAATACTTTGCGATTGGGTATTGGTCCATGGAATTCCAATAAACTGTTGTGGTTAGTGAAGTTTTTGAACCAACAGAGTTCTGGTTCGCACCAAATGATTCCTGTATAAGCTATTAGTTGTGTAAAAGTTTTAATGAAATTATGGATGATTTCAATTAGACAGTGAACTTAAAGAGAGATATTTATTGAACTCAAACAAAAAATTAAGTTTATTCAGATCCAAAGTGCATCCTTTTTATACATTTTGAGTTAACATAAAAAGTACACGTAAGGCTTCGAAAAAGTACCAAACTGGTATCGAACTGGTATCGAAATAGTACTGATCTATAGTAAATTTAATATATAGGTTGTGACCTACTCATATGTTTTTATAGTAAATTTAAGTATTGAACTGGTATCGAAATAGTATTGAAATGATATCGTTAGAAGCCCTACATAACAGATTATGGTGCCAGATACTATA